CCTCATGTCTTTTTTAAATCTTTCTCTTCTCACCTTAAAAATATGCCCCCCAGTTTTGAACTCCCCCCACCCTTGGGAAAATACCCTTGCTATTCATCTTATCTATGCCCGTCATGATTTTATAAACCTCTATAAGGTCACCCCTCAACCTCCTACACTCCAGTGAAAGATGTCCCACCTATCCAGCCTGTCTTTATAACTCAAACCCTCCATTCCCAGCAACATCCTGGTAAACCTTTCAGAACCCTCTCCAAATTAATAATATCTTTCCTATAACAAGGTGACCAGAACTGCACACAGTACTCCAGAAGAGGCCTCACCAACATCCTGTGCAACCTCAATGTAATATCCTAAATCCTATACGCAAAAGTTTCAGCAATGAAGGCAACCATGCTAAATGCGTTCTTAACCATCCTGTCTACATGTGATGCAAATTTCAAAGAATTATGTACCTGAGCCCTTAGGTCTCTCTTTTCTACAGCACTACCCAGGGCCCTACCACTACAACACAACTGAAATAGAGAGGGGAAAAAAATAAAACAATATCACAAGCCAAACATGGGATAAATTTCCAGGTCATAATGGTAAGCACTCTAAAATACTTATGGAAATTAGAGATGGGACAGCTGAGTTACTACTTTATAAAAATACTGGTATTGTAACAGGTATAGTGCCAGTGGACATGCATCCAACAAATGGTTTCCAAGTGAGTAAAAACAAGATCTGGGCTCTAAGGATGAGTCCGTTTAACATCTGTGTTATGAAAATGATTGGAATCTATTCTAAGGAAGTGATTGAAGATTGTTTAGAGTAATAAAAATAAGTGATACTCAAAATGAATTTTGAAAAGCTAAGTCAAATGGAACCACATTGCTGTTCCTTCACTGATGCTGCATCGAAATCCTGGAACTCCCATCCTAACACCACAGCAGGCCTCCCTATACCCCAAAGGCTGCAGCAGTACCAGAAGGGGGACATCACCATCTTGTTCAGTGCAATTAGAGATGGGCAACAAATGCTGGCCTTGCCTTTGAGACCAACCCATTAACTTTTTTTTAAATACTTTCACACTTTGGACTTAGGGGCAACTTACTCAAGATCGATAATTGCAGATGATGCCAAACTGTGAGATATAAATAGCTAACAATGAGCAGGAAAGCAAAAGAATACAAGAGGACATTAGACGATTCCCAGACCAAGAAGTTACTTGGTGAATAAACTTTAGTATAGATGATTGTGAAGTGATGCAATTTGGGTAAGCGAAAGAGAAACATCTCTTCAGTATGAGAAAATAAGATTCCCCATGGGCTGGATTAATGGAAAGCAACGTTACAAATGAAAAACCATGTTTAAAAATGCTAACAAAGCTCTGAGGTTTATTTCTGGTGTACAATTCAAAATTGGTGATGCTATGTTAAATTTGTGCAGAGTCCAAATTCAGGATTCTGGTTTCCATTTTATGCAAATATCTCGGGCTATTAGCAAAAGAATGGGAGGTGAAAACGGCATCTCTTTCTCAGAGAATGATTGGCCTGTCGACCTCATCAGTGGTTGAGGGACATTGTTTAGAAACTTTAAGAGGGAAACTAAACAAGAAGATTGAATAAGACGGAATAGCCAGATATAGAGAAAGGTTGAGATGAAGCAGAGGAAATTAAAGTTGGCGCCTGTGGAGTATCAGCCCTAGCACAGACTAGTTGGGCTGAATGGTCTATGTTCTCTGAATTCATTCTGCGGTGGACTTGCGGTCCTTTAACTGAATAAAACCACTGAAAGGGTAAAACAAAATTCCCAAGGTATGCAGATCCCCCTCCCTGTTGTGTGCACTATCCTGGGGGAAACTGGGCAGCTCGTTCCTCCCTTTTCCCAGAAATTGCTGTATTATCGTTACAACACGCACTCACTTCAGAGGAAATTAACATTTCTGTCTCTGCCCAACTTGCGCTTTACAGTTTTCAGAATCGCAGGCGGAGTGAGCCCAGTCGGCCCATCGTGTCTACAACTGTCAATGGGCATCTCACCACGTGTCATTCTTCCAGTAACCTCCAATTGGGGTTTCCTGTGATAACAACTTCACTCGCGTCTGGGTTAAATCTGCCGTCCCCCGCACCCCCAGGCACTGTTCCAGCTCCTATAATGACTCGCTGCCTGTCTCAGTCCACAGTTGCTGCTTTTAGCAGTGACTACTTTTCACTGTACTCCTGTACTGGAGTACAAGTGACAATAAAGGATATTCTTTTCTAATCTGTTCTATTTACATCGGTTCTGCTCAGTTGAGTGTTAGCTGTGGGGCGGTGTATAGTTGAGTAGCACAGCCCGCTTCTGGGTTCTGTTGGATTTACACTCCAGGAGGGGACAGATCAGCGACTTCTGGTATTTCTGTGATCCAGACAGGGCGGGGAATGAGGTTTCAGAAATGTTACTGTGCTCGCGAATTAATATCCTCCCAGCGCATATTTTAATGGTCGATTCGCGGGTTATGATATTGAGGAGATTTACAACACTGCGAGGGTCAAGGGGAAGAGAGTTTTTTTTAATTAAGGAGACCAAACAGGATTTTGTTTTCCGACTGACGAGCTGAGCAGTGGCCAGCATTGATGACCTTTCGGGTCGATCAGTGATTTCTTCACTGAGTGGGGGTGCACTAATGTCAGGCTGATTTCGGGACTGTCTCCCCTGGGTCTCCCAGAACGAATGGGGCGAGATTTTGAGACAAATCTGGCTCCTTCTCAGCAAATACCTTTAGATTTTCTGTTCGTTCAAATGGTTCTCAGTAAAATCTCAGCCACGGGACTCCTTAGATATAAAAGGAGCAGGAAAACACGGATTCCAGTCTTCAGCAAATGCTGGGAATCTAAGGAGATTGACCTAAATTATGAGTCAACGATTAATTCCCGTTTTGTTTAGAACAATAATTGTGTACTAATCTGAATCTGCGCTTGTATTCGCTTCATAGACAAACGCGGGATAGAATAAAATTCCGTGTCACGCTGGGCGACCACCGATATCTTTGATGTTAATCATTCATAACGTAACCTTGAGCTACCAGTAGAGTGTGGTTTAATTCCCCCACTCCTTTATTTATCGAACAGAAATCCCACTACACTTATAATGGTCCCTTGTAAATTAGAATGACTAGACTCGAGTCTCCCTGGACCCTTTCCGGTGGGAGGTATAGAACCAGCAGGAGAGGAGGAAGGGATGGCAGAAAGGAGGGAGGGAGAGAGGGAGGAAGAAGGGAGGGAGAGGGGGAGGCAGGAGGGAGCGGGAGGCAGAAGGAGTGGAGATGAAAGAAATCGAATCCGCTCGCTCAGTCAGAAAAGTTAGAAAGTGAGAACTGGCTGTCGAAGAGGACAATAATAGGCAAAGAAGCTATTGGCAGCCGAGAGAACAAAGTTTGAGAGGATTGGAAAGCGACAGCAAGCGGGGGGCAAGACAGAAGAACACAGAGACGGGAACTGGGGATTGAAAGATCAGAGAAAGTCCGTGGGAGGGGGCGGGGACACTAAGAGGTGGGGTGGAGGGGTGAAGTGGAGTGAGGAACAGAAACAAGACAAAAAAAACAGACGGGGACATTGATGGGGAAAGGGAATGGAGTTGAAAGAGCTGTGGGCTCGAAGTGACATAGAGAGGAGATAAAACCGCGAGACAGAAGCTAAGGAAACGAATGAAGCAAGGAGAGCCAGAGGTTCTCGAAACAGGGAAAAGATCAAATCAGAGGAGAGAGCAGAATATTATCATACATTTTCCATTTTGATAATTTTCTACATTGATCGGGCGACTGTTTTCAACGTTCATGTGTAAAACATAAATAAAACAAGTCTGTTCAATGCCATGTTTTACTGGACCATGTCTTGGTCGGAATATTTATTTCACGTTAATGTACGTTACTACAGAAACCCCAAAACCTGCGCTAATAGTTGAGACATTTCGATGAGTTTCGTCTCACCTCTCCTAAGCAAATCTCCGTCTTAGTTACATCGAGAAAATAAAAGCAACGAGTTCCGACATTGAATCATTCACTTCTGAATTGAATTAAAAACAAAACTAATTGTGTCGCTGCGTGTCACAAGCATATAGCCCGGTTTAAGCAATGCTTTTATAGGCATCACAGTGGCAGAAGGTAATCGTATCACTAAAGTGAATATTAAAGGATTATTACAATGGAACTGGTAAATCCGCCCAGTAATATTTACCTTCCAGGGATTCAACTTGACACCTGGAATACCAATTTCAATTTGCATTCGTTCAGCGGCAAAAGAGAAGAGAAACTGGCTTCTTATTGAAAAACAGAAATGATTGTTTTTTATGTAATTTTAAAAAGCGCTGGAAAAATTAACTCAACAAAAAGACAGAAGTCGAGCCCCCGTACCAATCCTCACGTGGAGATTCGACACAGCGCTCATATGTAAATTTATGGAGAGATTTCGCTTCCTTACTTTTACACAGGGCAAGACTTTCGTGAGTTTTCGTCAGTGCAGGAGTTTTCAGTTTCAAAAGCAAAAACTGCTGGAAAAGCTCAAAGGTCTGGCAGCATCCATGGGGAGAAATCAAAAGTTTTTAATGTTCCTTCAGTAAGGTTGCCCAATTGGGGATGCTGGCTGACTCTGGGGGAGTACAGGAGCCGACTCTTTGCCGCCCTCTGTCAGTGTCCCCTACACAGGAGAGAGAGCCCGTGACGTTGGGACCATCCCGAGGAGGCGAGGTTTAATGTGATTGAAAAGTGATCTTCAAGCTTCAGCATCCAACTGCTTTGAAGAGATTTTCGTTAGTGGTCAGCGTGGGCGATATTTCTGACCGCTCTCTCTGTTTTTTTCTCTCTCTCTCTGTCTGTCTAAAGGGGTGTGGAAAGACGGAGCAAGATTTCTTAACCTGGACTTGTGCTGATAAATTGAGCCGCAGAGAGAGAGAAAGGGAGAGAAAAAAAAGTTGCAGCGCGAAGTAAATGGGAGAAGGAAGAAGATGCAGGAGGGTTTGAGGGGGTTAAAGTCCAGTGAGGAATGAGTGAGCCCATCCCCTGAGCAAGGCTTGGGTGTGCGGGGCAAGGGAAGAAGTTGCCCAAATCTTCCCCCCCACACACACAACCCCACTCCGATGGAGAGCCCGGCTGCTCTAAGATGACTTGGGAGGAGTGGACGAACCGGAGTGTGGACGGTAACGGCTCGGGGGGAGCCGGCAACAGGTCGAGCGAGGAAGGGGCAGCGGGACTGGACGGCGTGGCCGTGGGGGTGGTGCTGGGCGCCTTGATCGCCTTCGCCATCGCCGGTAACATCCTGGTGATCCTCTCGGTGGCGTGCAACCGGCACCTGCAGACGGTCACCAACTACTTCATCGTCAACCTGGCGGTGGCGGACCTGCTGCTGAGCGCCACCATCCTGCCGTTCTCGGCCAGCCTCGAGGTGTTCGGTTACTGGGCTTTCGGGAGGCCCTTCTGCGATGTGTGGGCGGCCGTGGACGTGCTGTGCTGCACCGCGTCCATCATGAGCCTGTGCACCATCTCCATTGACCGCTACATCGGCGTACGCTACTCCCTGCGCTACCCTGCCATCATGACCGAGCGGAAAGCGGTCTGGATCCTCCTGCTCCTCTGGCTCTCCTCCCTGGTCATCTCGGTGGGACCCCTCCTGGGCTGGAAGGAGCCAGCTCCCGCCGACGACACCCTGTGCAGCATCACCGAGGAACCGGGCTACGCCCTCTTCTCGTCGCTCTTCTCCTTCTACCTGCCCCTCACCGTCATCCTGGCCATGTACTGCCGCATCTACGTGGTGGCCCGGAGGACCACCCGCAGCCTGGAGGCCGGGGTCAAGAGGGAGCGAGGGGGCAACAGCACCGAGCTGGTGCTGAGGATCCACTGCCGGAGCGCGGCAGGGCTGGGGGACGAGCCAGCTTCCACCCTCAGGGCCAGGGGCCAGGCGCCGCCGCCCCTCCGCAGTTCCCTGTCCATGCGCCTCCTCAAGTTCTCCCGCGAGAAGAAGGCGGCCAAGACCGTCGGCATCGTGGTCGGTGTCTTCGTCCTCTGCTGGCTTCCCTTCTTCACCATCTTACCGCTCGGTAGGTAGAGCGTGAGGGAGAGCGCAGGACCAAAAACGGGGGGAAACTTTCTAACAGGGTCAACCTGCGTGTAAACCAACAAAAAAAACAGAATGTTGCTGGATAGAGCTCAGGCAACATCCGCGGAGAGAAATCAGAATTAATGTTTCGGGTCGAGTGACCCTTCCTCAGACCTTGTATATGTGTGTGTGTGTGTGTGTGTCCATCTCCGCTTCATGTGGAACAGAATTATCAGGAGAAAAGAAAGTCCAGATATTATCAAATGCCATGGATCTCAGTAGCTCAATGCCATTGGTTCTGTGTTGCAACTTTCTCTGAATCTAAAATCTTTGAGTTCTCACCTATATTGAGGTTAAATTCCCACTATTAGCCAGTTCAGAGATTCACTGTGTACCACATGGGACTCGAACCTGGGTTTACTGCCGCTGTGCCATCGCAAACCTAAGGAATACAGTACTATTAAATATCACTCCCTTTCCCACCTCACCTAACTCTGAGGGAGAGAGTATTCGGGTTTTGATTTCCAGACCACAAGTCAGAACTCATACCCAAATGACGCCTGCCGTCTTTCCAAACTTCCAACCCTCCTGTCGTGGCACAGATTCATTTGGAAGGCATCCTAATTTCCCATCACGTCCTGTCGGGTTAGTCAGCGCTTCAGGCGCCTCGCCATCTTTTCATCGAAGAGTGTCGGAGTGGGTCATGGCTCAGTCAGTCCAATCATTCCTTTGAGTTTTACTTTCCTATTGGTGGGGGGAAAAGTTTTATTCATGACCTGTTGGATTCTAACTAGTGATCACCATTCGAAGGTGGGACGGTACAAGTTTCATTTGCGGGCAGCTCAGAATTAAAATGCTCCTCTGTCTTTTTTTTAAATCAGAAACTGATGTTCCCGCCAAAATCTCGGGGATAGCACGAACTGCAGATGCTGGAGTCAGAGTCAATACAGTGTGGAGCTGGATGATGTGGGGTGACGGAGGGTTTAGGCCCGAAACGTTGACTCTCCAGTTCCTCTGATGCTGTCTGACCTGTTGTGTTCCTCCCAAAGTCTCGCTGCTCAGATTAAATTCAGGCAGGCAGAATGCACTGGGAATACAGAATTCCTGATCTATAGGAATGAAGCACAGGAACAGAACTTAGGACCAGATGACCAGATGGGAGCCACTCTTCTGGTAGAAATTTAGGAGTGAGACTTCACACCTAGGCATTCTGTTTTGTTTTAATCACTGGTGGGATGTGGGTGTCACTGGCTGTCCAGCATTTACTGCCCATCCCTAGTTGCCCTTGTAAAGTTGGTGGTGAGCTCCCTTCTTGAACCGCTGCAGTCCATGTGCTGTGCGTTGACCTGTAATGTCTTGAGGGAGGGGATTCCAGGAGTTTCACCCAGCAACAGTGAAGGAACAGCAATTCATTTCCAAGTCAGGATGGTGAGAGGCTTGGAAGGGAGCTTGCAAGTTGGTAGTGTTTCTATGTATCTGCTGCCCTTGTCCTTCCAGATGGAAGTGGTCGTGGGTTTGGAAGGTGCTGTCTGACGATCTTTGGTGAATTTCTGCAGTGCATCTTGTAGATGGTACACACTGCTGCTACTGAGCTTCGGTGGTGGAGGGAATGGATGCTTGTAGGTGTAGTGCCAATCAAGTGGGCTGCTTTGTCCTGGATGTTGTCAAGCTTCTTGAGTGTTGTTGGAGCTGCAACCATCCAACTAAGTGGGGAGTACTCCATCACACTGCTGATTTTGTGCCTTGTAGATAGCAGACAGGCTTTGGTGAGTTAGTTGCAAAAGTAATCCTGGCCTCTGACCTGCTCTTGTAGCCACTATGTTGATGGGGGTGAGTCCAGTTGAGTTTCTGTCAGTGGTGACCCCAAGAATGTTGATAGGGGATTCATTGATGGTAACACCATTAAATGTCAAGGGGCTGTGGTTAGATTGTCTCTTAATTTAGGCGGTCATTGCCTGGCATTTGTGTGGTGCCAATGTCACTGGCCACTTGTCTGCTCAAGTCTGCATATTGTCCAGATCTTGTTGCATTTCAGCATGGACTCCTTCTTCAGTATCTGAGGAGTCACACATCATTGCTGAACATTGTGCAATCATCGGTGAACATCCCTACTTCTGACCTTATGATGGAGGGAAGGTCATTGAAGCAATTAAAATAAAGACTTGTTAAAATAGAGTCACAATATTAGGGATTTCTGTTTTCCTAATGAACATTTTCTGCCTTTGTATTATATTTGGAAAGGAACACTGGCAAAATTTAGGTCTGCTACATCTTCAGAGAAATTCAGTGGATAGTTTGTGTGCTCTTAACTGTCCTATAACTGATCATGTTGTTGATATCCCTAATTTGCTGTTTGGTGTACTTTTGTCTCAGGTGTACAAATAATTGATTGGTATTATAATTACAATGTACTATTTCATTTTCTGAGTCTAATTGCATTTATATTATGTCTACAAAACAGAAACCAATCAGTCCATGCTAGCATTTAATCTACAGTTGAGCGTGATCCTGCCTCATGAGTTTTCTTATCTTCCTTTAAATGTAGCACTACTTACGTCAATTATATCATCATCATGTTCCACTTTCTTATCATTCTTTGGGTAAAGAATTTTCTCTTCAATTTATTATTTGATTAATAAATGAATATCTTACATTTATAACCTTTAACACTTACTCACAAGTGGGAAAATTTTCTCTGCAGCTGCACTATCAAACTGTTTTATCATCTTAAAGGTGTCTAGGAGATTGCTTTTTGAAATTAAAGATCCACTCAGTTCTGATATCATCCTCAAGAATCTCTTTTGTATCATCTCTGATGTCTTTCTAATCATACTCAGACTGGAACTGCAAACTTTCTCATTTCATTAAACTTTGATTCAAGCTGATCATGATTCCTAAGGGCTTTTCAATTCTATCTATCTACAAATGATTGCCTGTGCTTAGTTTGCTTTTTATGATTTTATCAACCAGTATAGTTACTTTTAATAGTTTTAGTCATTCCATGGTTTTTATGATGTATGGATCTGTGCTCCTGATTTTTGTCTGATCCTGCATCTCATTCACACTCCAATTATTGAAGGAGTATATGTCCTCCTTATTTCTACAACCAAATAAACCACCCTGACACCTATTTATATTCCTGTACTCATTTCATAATATTACCCATTCTCTCAGTTTGTTAATAATCTATATCATTCATTTATTTCTCAAGGATAGTTAGGGATTAACAATAATGCTGGTCTAACCAGAGACACCCACAGTCCCGTAAACAAACAAATACAAAATTGCTCACCTTTATCCCTTATTAAGTATAATATTTGGTGTCACTTCAAATCTGGAGATTGTTCATTCAATTCCCACACTTCTATCATGATGACAGTTGCAAACCACAGTAGCCCCAGCACTTTTTGGGACACCTTTTGCCCAGCTGATCCCTTATCTCCTGCAATTGGATTCTTTACCAGCTTGCTGTCCATTTTCTCCCCTGACTTAGTCTACGTTGTGTGTTATTGAATACTTCTTGAAAATGCAAATATGTTAAGTGGACCACATTAGTTTTGTCTATGCTTTCTGTTATTTTTGGAAGATTCAGTAAGGTTGATTAAGAAAACTTCCCCTTTTACAACCCATCAGGCATAATCTTTTCTTTTACTTCTAGAGTGAAGATTTTAATTATTTTCTAAACAAACGCATTTAGGGTGTTGGTGGACTAACACAATTCTTACTTTTAGCAGAGTTACAGGCATATGCTACCCTTTGTTACCGAATTTTCTTTTCTACATTTCAAGGATACTATAGTTCAAACAGACTCCACTGACTGTTAAACACTCCAGGATCTCCAGTGCTCAGAAAAGATGCTATAAAAATGCAGATTTTTCTTTTCATTTAATTTTCATTTTAGGATCATTGTTTTCTGCGTACTTCGTGCACAGCTTGTATCGTGCTAGACTAACTGAAATGCAACAGAAACCAGGTAGAGCAACAGAAAGAGGGTGACATTCAGGGTAGAAATAAGATAACAAGGTGAGGAACTGGATGAACACAGCAGACCAGGCAGCATCAGAGGAGCCGGAAAGCTGACATTTCGGGTCTGAACCCTTCTTCAGAAATGGGGGAGGGAAAGGGGGCTCTGGAATAAATAGAGAGAGGGGGAGGCAGTGATAGAAGGTGGATAGTGGAGCAGATAGGTGGAGAGAAGACAGACAGGTCAAGGAGGGCTGGTCTTGGGATGAGATCGGGGGTGGGAAGATTTTGAAGCTCGTAAAGCCCACATTGAGACCATTGGGTTGTAGAGTTCCAAGGCGGAATATGAGGTGCTGTTCCTCCAGTTTTCGGGTGGCATCGTTGTGACACTGGAGGAGACCCAGGATGGACATGTCGTCCAGTGAGTGGGAGGGGGAGTTGAAGTGGTTCGCGACTGGGAGATGTTGTCGTTTGTCGTGAAATGAGTGTAGGTGCTCCACAAAGTGGTCTCCGAGCCTCCGCTTGGTCTCCCCGATGTAGAGGAGGCCACATCAGGAACAGCGGACACAATAGACCACAGTAGCGGATGTGCAGGTGAACATCTGTTTAATGTGGAAGGTTTTCTTGAGGCCTGGGATGGAGGTGAGGAGGCAGGTGTAGGGGCAGATGTAGCACCTCCTGCGGTTGCAGGCAATGTGCCGGGGGTGGTGGGGCTAGTAGAGAGTGTGAAGCGCACGAGGGAGTCATGGAGAGAGCAGTCCCTCCCGAAGGCAGATAAGAGTGGAGAGGGAAATATATCCTTAGCAGTGGGGTCAGATTGCAGGTGGCGGAAGTGGCGGAGAATGATGCGTTGAACCCAGGGGTTAATGGGGTGATACGTGAGGACGAGGGGATTCTGTCTTTGTTTTTATTGCGGGGAGGGGGTGTGAGGGCTGAGGTGCAGGAAACACAAGAGATGTGGTCAAGGGCATTTTCGACCACTGTGGGGGGGAAATTGCGGCCCTTGAAAAACGAGGACATCTGGGATGTCTAGGAGTG